ATACGCACCAAGTCAAAAGTCCAACTACTACAACAAGCAGGTAATTGCAAAATTATGCACGTGTGAAATTCTCTCATTAATAGAACAAACATGTAGTGTTCAATTTCTGTGTTCCACATATTGTGTAAGTACTAGCTATATGGACTACAAAGACTGGTCAAAACCCACTTGCTTGACATGATTTTACCCAAACGCGTGTAAGTAGCGAAATTGTAAGCTTCCTACGAGAAATTAAGTGGAATAATTTGAGGTCACAGCCACACTCACTGGAAGACAGAATGTGATCAATTAGTGATATCTTTCAGGGTCACTAGCATGGGCTGTAGTGGTGGCTCTAACAATGACAGTGTGGCAATGTGTGTCAAAACCGTGCCACCTTCGATTTAGGAAAAGGGTGTGATGCTTTATTCAGATGTCATGTGAACAAAGTCTGCCCAATACATTAAAAGTTTACTCTGCTTTAATGTGGATGTCCAAAAAAATGTGTGCATAATCCCATAAGGGGCTTAGAGAGGAATGGAAAATATCTGTAATATAAATGCAGATTACCTTTATTACACAATTGGATCATATTCTCATTCCTAGACCAATTTCTTATATCATAAAGCCTATATTCAATTTTATAAATAGCATACAGCAAGAATCGTAAATTCAGTTAATGTAGAAATTTAACAGATTTTTTAATAAAAGTGAGAAAAGGCTGTTTTAGAGTAAATATCTGAAAGGACAGAAAGGGTTCTTTCTTTGAAGATATGTTTTTCCCTCTGACTTTACCTCCTTGGGGACATAACTAGAGAAGAAATAAATTCCACAGCTAATATATATGAAGTAACATGTTTAATATTATCCAATAAATTTATATCTACCTACACCATATAAATTTATCCCGCATAAACTGTCACCTCCAACAGAATTCATTAAAACAATGTTATAGCTTCTGAATTAAATGCAATCTTCTAATTGGAATTTAATCTGACAATACTAGTTGGTGGATTTTCTTTTTTAATTGACAAATGGAATAATTCATTAGTTTGTCTTAGGGTTCTGTCTGAAGAATGTATAAGTAAATTTGATGTACAGATTGTCTGGCCACTGCTGTGAGGTGTTGTGGGGCAGGGGCAGATAGCTGGAGATTCTTTCATCATCTTCAGAACTCCTTCTGCTGCTTATGGGCGGGAAAGGATGACAGGCTCACTCTCACCATCCTGAATTACTGTATTACTAATATATTCCATTACCTCCACGTAAATGTCATGTTAATTTCTGATCCTCATCAAGCCAGACAATGGTTTCCACCTTGGCCCCTAGCCAATTAGCGATGTGGAAAATATTCAGCCAATTACATTACTTGTATTAGGTCAGGGACTGGAGAGAAAGGCAAAATAAACGCCTCGAAAATACTTGAGAGATAAAATGTAAGTTGACACTGTCTTCACATGCTGGAGCCCAAGTTATACAATCTGATAGGCAGCTGCCAGCACTCATAACTGCTTATTAAATCTAGCCTCCCTTTATGGTGTGAGTGAAGATCTGTATTTTTACCAATATTAGGTTCATTGTGTTATAAAAGAGACCAAAATACTTAAGATCATTCGCTCCAGCTTATAAAACACATTATGTAGTTTATTAAATTGCTAAAATTACCTCTCAAAGTCAAAATTTCAGGGACGGGAAGTTGAAGTACAACAAAGTGGCTTGGCCCACTGACAGCTTGCAGCCGAAGGAGCTCAGGAGGCAAGCCTCATGGCCAGCTCCTGCCCTAACACCTGCTACCATCCCCACCTCTCCCTGGAAGCTACATACCCCCACCACTCCCACCCCTAAACCTAGCATAAAAGAATCCAGTCTCAAGTTTTATTAAAAAGCCAGAAACTCCTGGAAAAAAAAAAAAAAAAACCTTAAATGAGGAACAGTTTCCCTGCTTTTACCTCTGCCAAGTAAGTCATGCTAGAATTTTGATTATGAGAGAAGTCAAAAAAGGGGCACTGTCGGCAAATAAGGATAAACAACTGGTGCAAAACAATGCAGTGTGATGTTTACACTTGTACCCCAGATCCACCATCGAGAGACAATTGGCGGGTAGGGACAGAAAATGCCAACGCATAGACTGCAAAGGCAGCAAACCTGCCATCTCTAGTCAACTCTTGTCAGGAAAACTCTATGCAAATCCAGACTGTTATTATCACATTTATCAATAACAGCGTGGCTAACAGCCTATTAAGTATGCAGCAGACTACGCAGCTCTTCACTCCCTGAGTATCATGACGGGCATCACACAGGTGCCAGTGCCAGCTAACGCCCACGCCAGGGAAGCAGAGCCAATGGTGATGCCCCATAGTGAATGGGGCACTGAAGAGCCACACTGCCAAAGAGGGAGTCTGAGGCCCTTCTTCCTCTTCATCCTGCTCCTAATTTGATTTGTAGCACGGTTATCGCCAACATAACAAGTTCATTACCCATTTTCTGACTTTAAGAATTTGCCAGAATGATCTGTTTGTGCAAACCTTTAGTCATACATTTTGCATTGGAGGGAGGCAATTTTGTTTTCAGCTGAAACAATAAAGTGGTGCTTCTTTTGGTTACTGGGTAAAGGGAGAAGTTCTAAAAGACACCAGGACCATGAATAAAAAACAATAGGACCAACCAGCTATCAGATACATAACACACAGGAAGTCACATTATTGTATTACAGAGGAAGAGAAGTGGGCTTCTGAACAAACCCAGGAGCTATGCCTTGGAGGAAAATAAGGAGGACAGAAAACTGAACACATGCTCCAGCTCATGGATTTCAGGGATAGCTACTTACTACTGGAGTTATGGTGGAGGCAAGTGTATTACAATCTGATAAACAGAAAGCACTTCCTTACTGAGAAAAGAACTGGTATATTTTATTGGGACTAACAGTACATTTTCCCAATTTGAAAGAGAGAAAATTTTCATTATATTTCTTTATATTGATTTTTCAAATACCAAATTTGACCTAATGAAATTAATAAATAACGTGAACCTTGTCTTCAATACGTCCATTCATGTGGTTTTGTTAAATTTCATGCAACAATTTTATAATAGTGAGATTGAGTCAGACTCTCTCAATACTGAAGACAGAGATGACAGGTAACCTCAAACCTGAGCATGTTGCTTTTTTAAGACCTTCAGAATTCTGACAACTTCTATGAATCCTGATATGTGTATATCAGACAGACCCAGGCTTTGTTCTCACCTCTACCTGGGTCCTCCCAAAATATGCTTTTTATGAGGTATGCTATCAGCTCAGTAACTACAGACATAGAGAAAAGGCTGAGTGTTGCAAAGCAGTGGAAATACTCTTAAAACTTCATAGGCGAGGAACCAAGGGACTTGCCAGAGACCACCCAATAAAATGATCTCAATCTCTGATGGTTCTGAAGCTTCATGACTCCATTAGCTATTTCTTTTCACTGTGGACATCCTTGTCTTACATGTTTCTGTTTGCCATTTGCCTTACTTCCCACCAATGAAAGACAGATTGCTATAAAGGAGACAGAAGACTGGTTTTTTGTTTGTTTGTTTTTCATTCTGTGTCTCTTGATCTTGCAAGAGAAAATGCAAGAAGTCAGGGGACAAACTACCTTACGTGAAAGAGAACTATTTTAGGCTGGTATTTAATGCTTTGGCTAGCTGTTTGTCTGGGGTTCTTTATTTTCTTAATGCATATAATGGGAGGAATTTGTCAAATGAGCTCTTACTAAAAACTTCACAAATCTGGCACAAGTAGCTGAATGTATAACAGTGTCTTAAAGAGACATTTATGATCAGAAAAAAAGGTGTATTAAACTGTATGGGCTGTATATCTCAGCCTCTATAATTGAAATAAACTAGATAGAAAGCATTGATAGAAGGCAAGAGGACCAGGCTCCAGTATAAGCAAACCCAGGGACCAAGACATCTCAATTAAGTTCTTATGAACATCAACTGCTCCATTTATGAAATAAGGGGATTTAAATAGATAGCATCTAGGCCCCTATAGGCACAGACAAATTGGGCAGTCTTACCTACTTTGTTTTAAATATAGGAAGTCTAAACTGATTTTTCCAATTTCCAATGTAGTGTTCTTTCTATTTCATTATACCTCCCTCCATTAAATGAAATCTATTTTAAACACAACTCCATTAGGATAAACAGGATGAGTTTATGTCAATAGTGCTATTAATAAATTCACTCCATATAAAATCTGAAACAAAACGGTTCCCCTTAAAGTTGATCTTATTCTATAACAAAGCCACCAATGAATGATGCTTTTAACACCTGTCCCCAGCCAAATATTATTGCTGATAAAGGCAAATCATATTTACTCATTGATTACTACTGGGGAGTCTTCTATTTCTGCAGAACACGATAACTGCCATCAGATAAGGAAAATGCGTATAACAAAGAATCATCATGCCCCTTCTAACTTCACTCTAGAAATTCCAATGAATGAAAATGAAGTGAACTATGATAGAAAATATCTTTCAAAAAATCCTTGAGAGTCCAAAGTTGCAAACACTTTCATTTCCTCAAGATCCCTAACCATGTGGAAGCCTTGAGAGGGAGACCTCCTCAATGGACAAATCAGACTTAACTTCCCTCAGCAAATCAAGATGAGGTCATTATAATTTCACGAAGGTTCATTTTATCACTGAGTTGTAAGGGGACCAAAAAGCGGTTCCTCTTTTAAGAGTGCATATAGCTCATAACTGAGATAGTTCACTCTCAGAGTACAGCTGAAGGAAACAAACAAAAAAAAAAGTCCTCTTGTGTCTTGTTATGCCTTTATAAATCCTCAAATCATTGTAGGAGTTACCCAGAATGACCATACCAGCAAACAATGACAGTTTGTCCCTGTTTTCAAAATGAGAATCTCTCAACCTCAGTGAGCAATTGTTCTGATGAACTGAGGACTTTTATCAGTTTCCTGTATCGTGTATGACCCCTTCAGCCGACTTTTTGTCTTGTGAATTTTCAGATGAATAATTACTCACCCTTTTGGCCAGCCAGCATCACATCCATCCATTCATGGTTGTCAGCAACTCACAGACGGTATCGAAGCCCTCACCATTGCCCAAATGTTTAGTTTGGAAACTGGAATTGTCAGCAAAAGCTCCTGGGACACTACAATACAAAAATATTTTTTACACATAACTAAGATGTAACTTCAAAAACCACCACTTCCTTAAACTTGAAAACAGCAAGAAAGACATAGCATCTAGAGATAGGGGAAAACACCTTTCAAATGAGGGTATGTCAAGATAGTAATGCTGTAAACTATGAACTAGAAACACTGTTTTGAAAGACATGTTTACCAATTACTTTTACACCTAAACATGAAGGTGGTTGTTTATTCCAAGTCCGTACCATACATTTTCAGTATGTCAGCATTATAACAATATCATAACCCATTATAAAATACTCAGATAACAATAAACTGTTTTGACTCAAATTTTGCATGAATAAATGTACTGTTTTCTATTAACTGTTTTTGCCAGAGCATTAAAAACACATGAAAATATTGATACTTTTAAATTATTTTTAAAACAATATTTCACATCAAAACTACTAAAAGAAATAACCATAGTCCTTTTTTTCCTCCAAAATAATTTTAAATATATCTATGACATAAGATGCAAGACCCACAGAGAGAGATATTGCCATGCTTCATGAGTGCAGGGGACCAAGTGAAAAAGCCTAAACTGCATGGTCCCAGGAAGCCATCTAACACCTCAGCATTCCGGGCTTTCTGTCTGCAAGGTCATCAGCTCATGCTCCCCAAGTCCCTTCTATCTCTTGGTCTTTCTGTCCTTATAGGCAAAGCATACTCATTCTATTAGCTTCTTCCTTAAGCTCCCTGGTTTATTTTGTGGTTGTTTGATCAATCTTTTTCTTTAATTGAGATAACACTTACTTACATCGCTATGTATGTTTTAGAAGTACAGGTTCATACCTCTTCAAACATAGGTCATCACATCATCCCTAGACCAGTGAACCAATAATTACAACTACATTCCTTTGGACACCCTCAGTTTTTGCCCCCACCTCTTCTCCCACTCAGGTAACCTCAGTTCTGCAGTCAGATTCCAAGGATTTGTTAGGTTTGCCTTTGGTTTGCCTCTTTCTTTTTTACTTAAAGATTTATTTTTTATGCACACTAGAACTGGGGTATAGGCCAGAGGTGCAAGAGATGAGAGGATTCCCCAGAGAGAGAGTGCAGAACAGAACAGGCAGATTCACTGAAATACATTGCTGAGGGAAGCAGCGGGTGGGTCAGTTCCCTGGGGTGGGATGGAACTCATGCTGCAATGGTTGCAGATAGCTTCACAGTTCTGTGCTTGAATCTGTTACGCCACCAGGGAGGGCCCTCCTTTGCTTTGTTTCTTTATATTCTACATAGGAGTGTAATCATCTCATCCTGTCTTTCTCCTTCTGGCTTATTTCATTTAGCATAATCCCCTCTAGTTCTATCCATGTGTCAAACACTTCCTACTTTAAAAGATTTTTACCACATATTCCTCTTGTGCTGATCTGCCATCAACACCAAAGAGATGCTGTGGCCAGAATACTAGTGCATGCATAGAAGATTTCACACGCAGTACTAGTGCCAACCCTTTCAGTGGCCACCCGTAGTGGCTGACAGCATCCCCTGGATGTTGGGAAGGCTTCCATTCTTCTCCAGAGTACAGCTCCAAATCTTACAGAAATCTGACCAAATATATTGTAGTTCAGTGTTTCACAAACTTTAATGTTCATGAGCTTAACTTCAGGAACTTTCTAAACACAGATTCTTGGGCCCCACTCACAGCCATTCTGATTCAGTAGGTCTGGAATGGGACTTGAATGCGGTATTTTGACCAAAAAATGCCAATACTGCTGATGATGGACCCACTTTGAGTCCAAAAGATAACATTCCATTCTCTAAGCCTCAGGCAGCCTACAGACCTTAGAAGTACTTCCAAAGCTCTCCAAAGCTATTGAATCTAAGCCCCAAAGAAAAAAAAAAAAGAAGAAAATGGGCTGAGGGTTATTCTTCACCTTTAGGATAAAATTCAAGATTTTTTATGACCCAGAGGCCTCCTGTCACTTGGTCACTTTCCATTATCTGACACCAACTGCAGTGACCAATACAGATCCTAGGGCTTTCCTTCAGTTCCAAACAACTCAGGTATTGGCTGGTGAGCTAGCTTTTCTGGCTGCCTGGAATGCCACAAATCTATTTTTCACACACTGGCTCCCTAGGTCTGAAGGGCAAAGGTTATTTCAGGAAGTCCGTTTACCTACCTACTTAAGTTAGGTCCCCAGCTTCTCAAGGATATTTTCCTGTCTGTTTTCTTCACAGTCCTTGTCATAATCTATAAAATTTTTCATAGTTACTCGCTTTCCCTTCTAGAATATACACTCCACAAGATAAGAGAAGTTCTCTATTTTATTCACCACTGGACTCCAAATCTTAAAAAAAAAAAAAATGTCTGGCTAAAAGCAGGCACTCAATATAAATTAATGAATCAATGATTGAAAGGATTAATTCTTCACCCCCGTTTTAAAAGAAAAAAAACATTTCTTAAAGCCTCACCACACGCTGGACATCTTCTTAAGTATTTTATAATGGTTATTTCACTTAACTGTACTCTTGTAACAAAGTTCCTAGTTATATAAGTTTAGTGTGTAGAGAAGAAAACTAAGGCACAGAGCTTTTCCCAAAGTCGCACAGTATCAAGGGCTTGACTCTGCAAAGTTCACTTTCAAGAGAATGCTGTTGTTTTTCCAGGCAATACACAAATACAAACATTTTGATTATCTCTTATATTAGAGGTCATCCTGACTCAAGCTTATTTGAGAGACTTTTGGCAGCAAAGTCTTATAGACACTTATTTGTCTGAATCTGAGCTTCCTGATTCATCCAGGGAAGCTCAGATGTCCCCCAATGACCAGAGAGATAATGAAGTAGGTGAAGTAAGCCAGGTATAAGGTGGCAAACAAAAACCCATGGTTCCTTAGCTGAGAAAGGCAGCCACTGCACTTCACAAACCAATTACTGCCAACCAGAACATAAGCCTAGGGCTCTAAGAGCGATTTTATAAACAAAAGCAGCAGTGTAGATTTCCATTTTGTGAAATTTCATAATTCTTCAAAGATAGCAGCTAATCTTTCAAGAGTACATACTTAAAAAAAAAAATTGCAACCCTACACCAAATGATCACTGAGGTCATGTCCTGCCTCCGGCTCTATGATTCTAGAGGGATTCAAACCAAAGAGGAGCTACACATGTGAACACGGAAAAACACAGGATGCGTCTGGGCAGTTAGGGCTTTCTAGAGGAATTATCTTAAATAAGCTGTGTATGGAATTGGAAGATGGGGTGGGAAGGGCATCTTCTAATATCTTAGTCAAAGTCTTGGAGGCAAGTTTCCCCCAGGACAGCAGTAAAGTGGGAGACCTGGAGGAAAAGAACATGCAAGCATTTTAGCTGTCACTCAGAACTGGAACTGATGCCAGGTTTCTAGTAGATATAAATTGATCAAGCAATGCTCTAAGAGTATGAGTGTTAGAGCTATCTTGTTTAGCTTCCCAAAACATTAAAGTCAATAGGAATGTCCAAAAATAATGCTTTTGGTTTTGTTTTTGTTTTTCTGTGGGTATTTTGTCCAACAGTATTGAATTCTATCTCTAGCAAGCTCTGTAACACTAATAAAAGTGTTATATAACTGTCTGTTACAGTTTTGTATATATTTATGATATAAAATATACATACATACTATCATAGATACTAAAATGCATACATACACATACATATATATATATCATAAAATAGAAGCCCTATAACACTAACCAAAACACTGAGTTCTAGAAATGAAAAATAAAGCAAATGACACTTAAAAAAAAAAGGCAGATAACCAAGATACCAATACATTTTCCAAAACACTCCCCAAAAGAAAATACTATCTGCCTAGAAAAACTATCTCTCAAAAATGAGGGTGAAAGACAGATCTTTAAGGATGAAAATAACTTTTATCACCTTTCTCTTTTTTTAATATATTCATTTTATTTTACACCATTCTTCATTTTGTGCATTTTTTCATCTTGTTTGTAATCCCTGTGGACTTCCCACCATCAATTCACCCATGTGACATCACCATAGTCCTGTATGCTCTTCCCACCCCAGACTTTTATCACCTTTCTATAGCCAACATTCGGAAAGATTATTTCAGATTAAAAAAAAAAAAGATTTCAGGAAGAAAATTCTTTGATTTAATAAGAGAGGTAGGAATCAAAATAATGGAGAACTTGTGAGTAAATGCATCAAATACTGTGCAGGTCTCAAACTCAGGCAAATACCTGGCAATATAAGAGGAATCACCATTAAGATGGGAAGGGTCCAGATACCTGATGGGGCAGGGATGGACCTGGATAGTCCAGCAAAGCTATAAAATCCTTTAAAGGAGACACAGAAGTGGACAAACACAGCATTGAGAGACATGTGAAGGAGATACCCTTGCTTCTCAGTTTTGGAAATGCACCAGCTTTGGACATAGGGAGACGCGTGCAGGGGAGACATGTAGACATACTTGGAAGAGACACATGGATGAGAGATTTCTGGGGCGCTGACAATGCTGTCCTTCTTTTGATTTGTACTTTAATTTTGCTCCTCTTGTCCCAGATTTGCCTGGTTCCTTTCTCTCCCTTTCTAGGGTTTCACACCAGAAGGTGCCTGAGGTGGGTGGCTAGGTTTTGGACGTCAGTAGCTCTACATCAGGCCAATTCTGTTTGGCTGGACATTTAACCACAACTGAATGGCAATTTTCAGTGTTTCACTGGGAAGCTATATCCTTTCCCTTCTTCCCGCTCTATGCACAATGATCCTTTTAACAATCTTATATTCTGAGAGATGTTTTGTCCATGTGAAGCAAATGGCAGAATATGTAAGTTGAGGCCCCAGCCGCTAACAGTAACACCACTGCTGGCTCCCAACCCCAATTCACCTTTAGGGGCACCACCTGGAAATGAAGACTTCTGACCTCCACAGTCCAGATTATCACATGTAGGTCCTAGGAATCTGCATTTCTACCAGCTGCCCCAGGTAACAGTGATGAGGACAGGTCCCCACCTAAGCTCTGCATTGC